AGTTTACAGTGATGCAACAAATGCACATTTAGAGAAAAGAAAGGTAAAGTAAATAATAAAAAGAAAAAATAAATATTAATTTTGAAAGAGAAAATAATTTACAAAATGTATAGATTAATATCCTACTTTATAACTAAAAAATGTCAGCTAACCAATTTTCCAATTTCTATTCAAAATAGACAATTAGTTGATTAGAAATACATTTAAAGAAAATGAATTGTTAACTATTTTCATAATGGATTAATTGTTTAATTATCTAATTTAATAAAGGCTTTGGGTTTTGAAGAGTTGGCTGGGGGAAAAAAATCAAAAAATGTTGGACTCAGGAAACTTGTAATGAGCATTTTTTGACTGAAGTACGATTAATAAATAATAAAAATCATTGTTGCTCGCAGCCATATAAAGTAATGTTATGTATTATGTTTTTTTTAAGTCCTAATCAAAGGCTAAGTATTTTAGATCATATAAATCATATATTTTCAACAGTTTGACCAGATGAAAAACAAGTGTTTATGTGTTTAATTCAACAGACCATAATTGAAAATATCAGTATGTCTTTCCACCAATTTTTAGAATAAATAAATAAAAATAATCTTTAGCTTCAGCCCTACTCTAAATGTGGAAAAAGTCCAAATTAAATGACATGCTCTTTGAGTGTATCCTGTCCACATACTCCGTAGCATGATCTCTTCAGTGAAGTTTGTTGTTGTTTTATAACTAAAATGCAAATATGCAGTGCACTAACTAATCAGTCCTTGTGATTTTATTACATTTTTTTCAGGGGCAAGTTTGGATTAATGGCTTCAACTTGGGACGTTACTGGCCATCCCGAGGCCCTCAGGTGACACTCTTCGTCCCGGCCAACATCCTCAGCACGGCTGCACCTAACAATGTGACTGTCCTGGAGCTGGAGGGGGCTCCCTGCGGCTCAGGGCCATGTAGTGTGGAGTTCACTACCACCCCGATCCTGAACGCAACAGTCCAGTCTGACTACAAACAGCACAGGAGACTCTTCGCTAAAGACGATTTGTTTTGATAACAAGGGAATTCACTGCTGCTCAAAATCAATTTGCACTTTGTTTGATTTTTAAAAAGCTGTAATATGTGAATCTGGGACATGACATCATGACATGATTGAATGTGTCTTTATGAAAAGTGATGAAAGCCAAATGCTGTATTTAACCATCACATTGTCATGTGGGCGTCTCTACCTCACTGGACATTTTCATTCGAAGCCTTTTCTTTCTCTTCACAAAGGGATTATTGTCAATTGAGGCACTGCCAAAACATCATAGCAGCCTGTATTTCAGAGAATGTTTTATTTTTTTATGTGGAAAACACATCAGGGAAATGTATTATGTATTATGATACAACTACAGATACATTGGGACTGATGATCTGTAGCTTATATTGATTTTGAACTTATTTTGCATACACTCTATACCTGTCTGATATAATGCTTATAAAGCATATGCCTTTTAAAGCAAAAAAATAAACAATTTGATTTAAATAATACTCCAGTGATCTGGAGTGATGTCTTCTGTGACAAGATGCTAGTCTGAAAATGTGCGTTTATCATTATAAGACATTTTTGCTGTGACTTGATGAACCGATTATACCAGCAGGGAATTGGTTTGCAATGTGGGCAAAAGAAAAAGAGAAGATAAGGCTTCAGGATTATATTCTTTGTCTACATCCTTAGATCTGTGAATATGGGCTTCGTGGAATTGTTTTCATTGACAGTAGATGGCAGCAATTCATTTTTAACACCCAGCATCAGATGTGTCACAATAGAAAAATAACATGAGGTTAATATATAATGAATTAATAATTAAATAAAGTCACATTGACATTTAGAAACAGATTGGTTGAAGAAAGAGGTGGTCAACTTCAACAGAATAAGACTTGGGCCTTCTATATATTATAATAATTATAAGTAGTATTATAATATTTTTTATAACATAATAATATATTGGCCTGCATTAATTTCCCCCATAAATATAGAATATAAACAGATATGTTTTGATAAGGACCAGTTTAACTGTAACCAAGATAGGTACTAAGCAGAACATTTTAGGAATAAAAAAATAAACTTGTCAGTGCTCTGTGGATCACAAACTCTGCAACAGTGACACTGTTTCTAAATGAAACAAATCTGTGCCATTTTTTGTATTGCAATACATTGTTACTGACCCATACTCATATATCTCCAATAAGGTGCTAACTGCTCATATCTCCCTAGACCAGGATTTTAATATAAAGACAATAATGATCTCAATTGGCTCAGACAGAATTTCTTTCTTCTTTCAAATTCTCTTTGACTTTACATTTATATATATAAATATATCATGACAGAAGTTATCACTTTTCAAAAGAGCAGAACATAATCGAGAGAACGACATTTTCCAACAATTTCTAATTGTAATGTGATTATTTAAGAGTAACAGGAATAATAAAGAGTATAAGTAATAAGTTCCCGCTCTCGCCACACTCCAGTCCAGCAGGTGGCGGTAATGCACCGACACGCTGGTTTGCCAACCGCCATTAAAACCCGAAGAAAAAGAAAAAGAAACATATACTAACGTAGAAGAAGAGGGCGGAGGCCTGCTGGTAATTTCAGGAGCAAAAGAAATAAAGCGAATATTTGGACGTTTTTGTCCAGCGATGAGGTAAAAAACAAACCCCACCGCCTTGGATGAAATGTTTAACATTTAGTTGTCAGTGAAATGTCTCGATGCATGCCACTGTTAGCTACCTATGATTAGCGTTAGTTAGCCGAGATAGCTCAGCTTTTAGTTGCACAGTTGAGGAAGATGCCTTTGATATTATCAGCTGTGTGAAACAGTTCGCTGTTGTATCCCTTACTAACTACAGCTGTTGTCATCTGTCAAGTTGTTAACCAGGTAAACGTGACGTATCAAAGCATTTCTTAATGAGCCTGCGTGTTTCTTTTCTTCGACAGGCTGTGAACGCCTCTCTGTTTGGGACAGTGGGCTCTAATGCAGCACAGTAGCGACCTGACTGACTGAAGTACAATGTTGTGCTGCTCGGACTCAGTGACACTACCTGACCATAGTTAACAGACATGCCGTGGTGCCTTAACACCAAGCGGAAATCTCATTTTTAAGCATACAACCCAGGCTTCCTCACCCAGTGAAAGCCAACCTGCATTTGTATTTTTATACAACCTTTTATTATCTCTATCAGAGGGAGGTTTTTTCCCTTGTAAACACGGACTGTAAAACGACCTAAGACCATGGTAGACAACCGCTATGCCACAGCTCTGGTCATTGGCTCGGTGCTGAGCCTGCTGGCCACAGTGTATCTGTCTGTGGCTGTGGGAACTCAGCACTGGTACCAGTACAGCTGTCCACCAGTCAGACATGAGGGGAGCAACGCCTCGGAGCTCAGAGAGGAGTTCGTCAATGGAGAGTTTGATGAGAAGGCCTACAGCGACACCATGTTCCGCCTGAATGGCACTCTGGGACTGTGGTGGAGGTGCATCCTGGTGCCCGGCCAGTCCCACTGGTTCAAAGAGCCAGGTAAAAGATGTTGTTACATGTTACATCTCTGCAGCTTTCCCAGTGCCTCTTCACGTCGCTGCTGATTAATGCATTTTACTATCTTCAGTCACACACAGTTGGGTAGCGCTCCTGCTATAAACTCATGTTGTGCCTGCAGTTCTTTATTTTCTATTGTAGTGTAGATAACAAACTCTTTAAAACACCAAATGTGACTGTTTGCATTAAAATGATGATTTGACGTGAGTTTTCCATTTAATAAAATGCGGAAGCAATGGAAATGTGTATAATGCGCTTCAGTGATCAAGCAGATACAGTTTGTCTGGCTTTTAAAGTTACTTGAGGGCGAAACGTAAAAGGAATATTGGGATTATGTGGGTAAAATAGTCACAGTATATGTATTTTACGTTTCAATACTGATAGAAAACATAGATTTGAGTGTCTATATTTGGCTCACCCATCGAATAAAGTAAGACACTGTACCTGATGGCATTAATGCAGAAATCACTTAAGTAGAGGTGCACTGTGTTACCTTAATAAGTGAAGCAGCTATCGGCCAGATGTGACCAATCCATGTTATATACAGTAGTCATTATAAACCTCAGTGTTTGCTCTCTTAATAACTTTAATTCTGTCACAGCCTCTCACTCAGTTTTTAGTGGCACAGAATTTTAATCCTTATTGTCACTATATGGTATATAAGTACCGGTTGTCTGTAGATACCCAGACTTAAGCTATGGGAATTGTTATTGGGATAGATTTCTGTTGTCTTGTGGTGAACTGTCTATCATGTTCCCAACTGTACATCCCATCCTGTGTATTTGTAAACAGTGACAGCTCAGTTGAATTGATGCTCTCTGTTTCTGTCTTTAGATCCAAAGATGGAGACGCAGTGTGTGAGCTTCACTCTTCCTCAGCAGTTTAGTCCAAAGTACAGATACCTGGGAAACCATAACGAAGAAGACCTGCTGAGAACATGTGAGTCCGCCCTGTCCTGCCTGTAGATTACATGATGTTGTGTTTAGGTTTTCAGTGTATTCTGTTTCTGTTTTAACTCGTGTACCAGACTAGAAGGCCACTAGCACAGTTTGTGACAGTGTCATTTATCTGTATTAGTGGACACAAATACCCAGAAATTTAATATTTAAAACATAGAAATATGGACATTTTAAAATGTAATATTGGAAATGTAATGTAATGTATGAAAACTTCAGGGGCAAATTAACCTATCCAATATCAAATGAATACTCTGGACGATTCAGAAAATACTCTATGGTGAAGTGATGTTTAGCTGGACTAAATTGTAAGCTGGTCTCCTGCCGCCTTTGAATATTGGATTTGAATGTTTTTCTATGTAGGTTTTAAGTTGTTGTTTTTTTGATAATGTCTTCTTGCAGACTTGTGGAGGTGCCAGTTTCTTCTGCCCTTGGTGTCTCTGGCCTTGGTGTTCCTCAGCGGCCTTGTTGGGGTCTGCGCCTGCCTGTGCCGCAGCTTCACCCCCACCTTGGTTGTGGGAGTGCTCCATCTACTTGCAGGTGAGAAAATTCATGCACATGGGAACAAAAACAATGGCATGGCATGTAAACAGGAAAACACTTACGGTTGGGGGAGGCAGAACTCCCTTGTGGGGGGAACTTGTGAGAGACTCCTGTCAGTCAAACAAAAACCATCTCAAATTCTTAAATTTACACAATCCTTTTCTCACATGGTGTGTTTTAGAGGAGCAGACACTCTCTTACTACTGTTATAGCAAAACTATAAACATTAACCCACAACTTTAACATTATAACTTTAACTCTTTAACAGGACAAAACACCATGGCACACAACAGGGGACTAAATGTGTTAATATCTTTTTGTACAATGATGACACTGGTGTGTGAGCTTACATAGAAAAATAACAGTTGTGGGTGTTAGCTTGCACATCATAAGCTGCCAGCGCCTTTTGCGAAAACGTTTCCAGCTGCTGATTATCAAACTTAAAGCTAATGTCAGCCTGAAAGTGCTGCTTCTGGGCCTCTTCTTGTTAGGTGAGTTTGTCCTCACACATCCCCCACCTCTTGAACTTTCCCAAACGTATAAACGTCAGAAGATTTTCTTTTGCTTTGATTAATTACAGTTAAGCAAACATATTAACTGTGGGGATTGTCACTTTAATATGTGGTTTTTGTTTGGTTCCAGAAGTGACACAGCACATACAGTTTTGTGTTTATGTGTGTGTTTCGTGGCGTTCATCTTTTATGTCTCTCCTTCGCTCATCAGGTCTGTGCTCTCTGGGAACCGTCTGCTGTTTCCTGGCCGGGATAGATTTGCTCCACCGGTATTCCTCACCACCAGACGGGGTGGAGGGGTCGCTGGGCTGGTCCCTCTACCTCGCCCTCATCTCCTTCCCTCTGCAGATGATGGCAGCTGCTTTGTTCCTGTGGGCGGCCAGGAGTCACCGCAAAAACTACACCCGCATGACTGCTTACAGAGTAGCTTAAAGAGAGATTACTACAACAGCATACCTTAAAACAGCCTACTGGTCTGAGGACTATAAAAAAAAGTTTCTGGTTAAGACAGGATGTACATTAAGTGAAGTGACCAGAGGCTACTGGTTGTAACTTCTCACTTCCTTTGTAACATTCTTTAACTAGAAAACACAATAACATGGCATCACAGACCTAGAGGCAAGTAAACCAGTTTGCAGCTAATCATCATAAGTGCTCATAAATAGGGGTTTAATGCCTTTGCGTTACGTTATTTCACCTTTATTTTTTTTTCCCACATCTCTAACCTGTATCATAATAAGCATGTTCTTTAATGTATGTTAACACCCTGATATTATGGATGATTTGTTATTTCTGGTGTTAACTGTGTTGGCGTGCAGTACTTAAATGCCTTTTTTATTTAGTTGCCATTGCTTCTAAAGCTGCTCACCACATTGCCCTTAAATCAGTTCTAGATTATAAACTTGCACAAATTTTAGATCTGTAATTATCAAAGTCAGGGTAGGTCTCTCTATAAGTGCATGACAAATATAACATAAGCCTTTTTATTTTTTAATTTAATTAAATGTTTTTGGTTTGGATTTATTTTTGTATGATCTTAAATATCGAGCCTTTGCTGTGCATGCCTTTTAAGCTGACATTTCCGTCATCTGTGGTAATTGTTGATTTCAGTCTGTGGTATGTGTTTAATAATGTCAGTAAATGTCACACACTAAAAATGTAACCACTCATCTCCCATTGTCACCCGTGTTTATAGATCTAATATTTATTAAAGCAGTTAATTTGAATGTTAAAAAAACTGAATTGATTTGATGCCACTCGAGCAAACCTGTGACCTCTTTGTAACATTTAAATTCAAATGTTTCAGCCCCAAAATATACTACTTCCATTTTACATTTGTTACAGTGAAGTTTCACTGTAATCCTGGTTGCAGTCAGTATTCTGTTTCTTTAGAGCTCGGTTTTATCAACCAGCTGGCTGGTTTGACAGCTAAATATTGGTTTTTGCTTCAAATAAAGCCTTTTAAATGTCTGTTGGTGATACTCCACAGTTTTGAGCAACAGTTGAATTTGCTAAATCTCCCCTTGACAGTGGAAATCCTCATAAGTCTTTCTTTACACTTAACATTTGTGTGTAAAGTGAATACATTTTTTTTCTGTGTTTCAAATTCCAAAATTGCTAATTTGAAAAATTGTGATGTTTTTGTGTCACAATGTTTTGTTACTCGTCTGAAGTGTATACACTCTGTCTTTTGTAAATGTTTTTATGTGTTCTGAAGCACACTGTTCCTGTAATAATAAATTTGCCATTCTGTATTTGTCTTGTGTGATCTCCTTTGGAATAGAATTGTGAGCTGCTTTGCTCTTGCTGTTTTTTAGTGATGTGGCTCTAGAGATAGCAATGCAATACTTTAGTTTATGACCAAATACCTGCAAAACTAATGACATTACCATCTTTCACATTCTTAATTTTACCATTTTATTGGATTGCCTCATATTCAGTTTATATCATTGCAAACTTTGTATCATTTTGTCCTCATATATCCACCCTCATAAAGACAATGGGAAACTGTTAAACTTTTAATATATATTAAGAATATTTTCTTCGATTGACATGCACATTTTATAGCAACTGAGCAATTTAAACCGTATGACTTTATAAAGATTCAAGTCAAGTCAAAACACACAAAATAATAGTTCAAAGTGATCCATGTTTTCATTTATTCAAACATACTGTTTTGCATTATTGCCACAGTTAATATACAGGGGATGGAGGATTATAACTCCAGCACCTGTGCAATATTATTAAGTCAAGTACAAAAGCAATCCATTACACATGAGCCTCACAGAGGTAGTACTGTTGCAGTGTTTCTGTATTCAACTGAGGAGGTAATCATGTTATTGTGTCATTTATTGCATAGGTTTGTGCATTAGCTAATTTGAGATGATTAAAACATGATTATTCATGTAGTGCACAATTTCTTTTCTTTGATTATAATTCAAAATCTCTGCAGTACATATTAGTCCCCCTCTCAGTCTTTCTTCACACTTATGGGCGGGAAGGTCAAAGTGATCTTCTTGGCTAAATGGAAAGCAATCTTCTTCTCATAGTAGGCACATTCATTTACAAAGAAAGGGTAGAGTTCTTCTCCCTCGTACTTCACCATCTCCCCAGAAAATGACTGGAACATGGGGTCTCCTGGTCGGAGAAGTTTGAAGTCATTATCCTGTGGAAAGACAGACAAAGCCAATGAAGGAGTCAAATCAGGTTCCTGGCTTATGGATTCATGCATGTACATTTAAATGTGTGAATGAAACTACCCTATGTAGTATTATTTTAAAGAAATAGGTCGACATTATGGGTTGTTATGGATTATAGCCAGTTTAGGGAAAAGCTTATGTGTGCATACATCTTTCCTAGATGTGTATATTGTACCTGCAGCTGGGGGTGTATGGCAGCAGTAATCTCATTGGTTGTAGGATCCCTTGGGTAGTCTACACTCCTCACCAAATTGTAGGCTTCCACTTCACCTCCTTCAAATGTACTTCCTGTTGGCAAAAGACAGTGTGAGTAATAATGCTGGTGTACTCGAGAAGGTTCACACTCATTTAAAAAGGTCAACCAAATTATAAAAACACTTTATTACTTATCCCTAGTGATCATTTTTCCATGCAGGTGGTTGTGGTTTGATTTGGCCAGGTTAGGTCTGGCTTTCAGGCTAACTGCCCTCTCCAGTCTGACAACTCCTCCTGTCCCCCTCCCTTACCTGTAACCTATTCAGTGTGCCTCAGGCTGACCGCTAATGCAACCCCACTCAAGCAAGGATGCAGGCCCTCACAGTGTCAGCCCCAGGGTGCTTAAAGCCTGTGCTTCAACATGTCTTCAGTTTGAGCCTGAGATCCGCAAGGCCAGTGACGTTGTTGGTGTGGAGCTGCATTCTTTGACGGCAGTGTCAGAGAGGAGGACGCTGTCCAAGCTCCGTCAAGCTATGTAATCTTGGACAATGTCTCCCACCCGCTCCACAGGGAGCTGGTCAAACACAGGAGTACTATCAGTGCAAGACTCATTCCGCCAAAATGCACCACAGAGCGCCACAGGAAGTCATTTCTGCCTGTGGCCATCAAACTATACAACTCCTCCCTCAGAGTGTCAAAACTCTGAGTCATTGGTCATTACACTGGCACTAGAAATGTTCTCTGGTTAATATGCAATATACTGGATTATTCTGTTAGTAACTTTGTAACTTCTGTCATACTGTAATGTTTAAAATTCACTACTATTACTCATTTCATTTCTGTCAGTCACATACTGTGGCTTACATTTACTTCTGTCTATATATATTGTCATATATTGTATTATAAGGTACATACTTATTATATTTCTATTTTTATTTTTCCTATACCTATATATACATTTTCTATTACTATATATATTGTATTAGATATTGTAATATAATTAGTATTTCGTATAAGTACAAGAGCAAATCAGGCCAAGGAAGCATTTTTTTTAATTTTTTTTGTAATTTGGGTGATGCGTCCCCTTAAATACCAGGGGTAGTTTCTTACCGGAATTGAATCCCTGAAGCCATTCGATTGTGAGATCCACTGCCTCTTTCACCATGTTAAAGATATCAGCTCTGAGCACACCGTTGGGTTGAGGACCTACCTCTATTGCTGCAGAGAACAAGAGAAACAGGAAAAACATCTTGCACTTGCAATCAATTAAATTATTCAGAAAAAAACTATTTTTGCAAGAGATACACTTACCGAAGCCATGTTTGCCCACTGACTCTAAGGAATAAGCCTCAGAAATAGGTATATCCAGCTGGATTACTCTCACAGTTGTAGAGGTCATCTTGCTCTGAAAACCAAATTATTCCATGATTTACAGCTCTTCAGATTCTGATTTGTATTGCCTTAGATCATAATTGGTATGGAGACAACCAACAACATATACAACTCAATAATGACAAAATACTAAACGAAGATGAATTGAACAGAGGTCCAAATGAAATATTTCAAGAACAACTGGATGGATTGCCATGTCATTTTGTGCAGATGTTTGTGATCCCCAGAGGATGAACACTAATGACTGTGGGGATCCCCTGACCTTTCCACAAGCAACACCATCAAGTCAAATTTCTCATTTTGTCCTCACAGCCTCACAGAGTCGTTAGCATGGCTGTAGACTGTAAACTGTCCTGACTAAGATCATAGTATTTTGGTCATAATTCATTAAAAACATTTCAAGGGATCTTTATAAAATCTTTTCTTGTTGTGCATTCATGTAAAAAGGGACTATGGTCAGGCTATATATACACTCCTATAACCATTATATCTTCCCTTGGTGTTGCTAACTCCAGATAGCCTGACTGTAATTTATCTTCTTATGTTTTCCTAAACATAAATATCAACATTCTACTTTCTTACTGATAACTAGGATATTCTTAATGTTGCATGCAGATTAAATGCAGTGTTTATTTTAAGTCAGTGTTTAAAGTTGAAGTTGCTTACGAGACCTGCAGTTCCAGTATTTTTATGCTTCATGTCATTAAGTTAAAACGTACCACTAATTAGATACATGTGTTTCTCTGGATGACTCCATGAAGCTCATACCTGTATGTATTTGTAAATGTGCAGGGTGATCCAATCCATGGAGTAAAAGATGAGGCAAAGGCCCATGTTGGCAGTGGTGTTGTGGACATCGCAGAGCAGATCCACAGCCTCTTTGCTTCCTTTGGGTCCAAGCTGAGAGTTTAGCTCTTGGGCTCGCTTCAACTCATAGGGTGTAGAGTCTGTTATGGGGTCACTGAAAGCCAGAAGATCAAATAAAAACTTGAAATGTTAAAAATGTTAAATGTTAAAGTTTTGGTACATCTTTTCGTCTTTAACTTACCTTAGCAGGCCTTTTGTGAAACAGCGATTCAGATCTGTTTCTATGTATCTTCTACAAGCATCCACAGCCCGTGGATTTGATAGAACGGTGGTTATAGAAACAGATCCAGAATTATCTACCATCTGTTTCTGCATTTCTCTCACCAAGTACACCCCTGACATCTCATTTCCATGGGTGCCACCACAAATGGCAACACGGGACAGTTGCGGGAGCGAGACATGCTCCATCTGTTGGCAGGAAGAAAGTGATTGTACAATAAGTGTTGTCCTGTCTTATTTTTTTATAACCCTTATAATACTCTGACCTTTCAGCAAGCAAACAAGTTTACAAGTTAATGTAAACATCCATGAAGTGACAAAACCTATTTAAAATGTAAACATTTACACAGAAGATTAACCTGTGACTGGATTGTGAAATTAGGTTCAGCCTCTGGTCAGAAACTGGGGTGAAAGTATTACTGGATGACAGCCAGTGAGTTATTTAAATTAACAAGTGACCTAACCAGTCTCAGTCCCACTGAAGGAAATCCCAGTAGATGGGATGTTAATCTTTAAACAAATATTGTAAGCAAATGTCAAATCAAATGTTAAAAGATGTCAACTGTTAAATTTGTTTCAGTACAGGTCGAAGTACAGGTTTAGCAAGGAAGTGAGGGAAGCTAAATAAATGTACTCTGAGAAACACCAGTTCTCAGCCAGTCATTCTGGTTCCCCCGAACAGACACATAACCAACTACAAATGTAAAGCCCTCCACTCCACCTCCGAAAGCTCAGCAGGTCACCAAAAAACCAAGGACCACAGGACAAATGACTACAGATCCTTCACCCTGACCTCTGTGGTCATGAAATCTTTGTTGAGCATTCATTTATTGAACTAATAAATTAGGTACAGGCTGTTGACAGATAACCTGACTTTAGTTGTTTGTTTGCCAGTGGATTAGTGTTTTACGGCTCTATAATTCACAAGTTAATCACTGACAGGGATGAAGGTCTTTAATTTGTTGCTGTACAATCACTTAATTTGTGAGTGAGAACAAAATAAGAAATCCAACACTCCTTTGAAGGCTGTTGCATAATGATGTTTTTGTTACTAACTCTCCTAGCAGTCACAGCTGTTCCTATGCAACTTTGCAGTTCTGAATGGTTGTATGTGGTTGGCATTTTCTCCAAGTGAGAATCAAGCAGCCACTTGCAAGACAAATGTACAACTAGAAAAACAAAGTAATGTTTTAGCTTGCAAACAAGATACAAGTACTACATTGCCCCAAAAGCATCAAGATGCCTTCTACATGTGCTATCACTTTGTGCTGTGAGTGTATGAGAGCCTTGTTTATTCTCTTCACTGTACTCTGAGAGAATAACTTAGGTGAGGTAACTGATCCCCTAGGAAAAAAACTAAACTGATGCATCCCAAAGAGTTA